AAAGAACATGTTATAGCAGATTTCCCAAACTTTATCAGGGGTGCGTCTGTTTTTTCAATTCAAAAAGAGCAGAGGACATTGTACTAGAAAGCCAGGATGTTTATTCAGCAAGACATGTAGAAAGCGTTGACCTGCCATTAACTTTTGAGCGGTTAGAAATAACAAGTCGCAAAAGGTACACATAAACAACTACAAAAGAAAATTGTGCTATTGTATAAAAAAGGAACGAGGAAGTGGCAGCATCGAATACTTTGCGGACATAACAAGTGACTATCCAGGAAAAAGTGTCATAATGCCTACCTGATACACATTTGTGCAGCTAATGGCAAAAGGACAACCAATATAACGTTGGACCAATATTCCTGCGGCGGTTGGACTCCTCACTACGGTTGGAATTCGACTAGAATTTCCATAACGTGAGCTTCAACCTTTTAACAAGCGTTCCTAATAAAAAGAACTTCAAAAAAATAAAAATATATAAATAAGTCGTAAGTGCCTTGGAAGAAAAGCTGCATTCTTCCGCACAGAAATAAAACAAAAATTGTGGCATATGTTATAGTGTGTTTCGTAAATTCACTTTTTTGAATTCGCAATAAAGCTAGGTCATTAAAAGCGGTTTACAGCACTTAATACAGATTGAGGTCTTGTTCTAGGGCTTAGGAAGCAACCATGTGCTTTGATGAAAGCAGACTTTAAAATGTTATTTATACCCTTTATAACTGCCTCGTTTGTCTTTATATCTTGAGTTAATTTTTTTACTGCAAAGTACGAGCAACCATATTACAATTTGAAGTGGTTAATTGGTGAAGAATATAGCAAGAATGTGGGGACTATTACGAATAAGGGTAGGTAGGGCTTTGCCATCAGCACTGGCTTCAATTTTTGTATGAAGTAATATATATTAGCATCACATCACGCATCGTATGGTCTTTGTGCGAGTAATAGAGTGCAAGTCAAACACGGCTAAAGTAGAGGTGAAACGGTCCAGCGATCTCAGTCGCGTCACCCTAATTAGGATGCATACGTTAACAGTGCCTTGCGTACAAGGCCTGTCATTGATCGCTGCTCAAGGGGAGTGGGAATGCCCAATCTGTTTTTTTATCGCGTTGAAGGAGTATTAGGGGGGGGGGGGATTAGGGTTGGAGGGCTTCGTCACTCGAACAGAAACTGCGAACTTTGACCTTTGACCAAAGGGGCCCAGTCACGATAAGATGCAAAAGAGCTAGCACCCCGCTTTACTTCGTGATTTCTCGTTGTCAAGTTCACTACTTCGTCCTTGGGACAAAACGGCCATTTTCTCAATGAAAACGATGTAGGTCTCCAGAACGTTTTATTTTCAGGCGACATCCGTATAAAGGCTTTTTTTCTAGTGTTCTTTAGCATCTATTTTTAGCCACTTTTTAACGATAGCAGAAGCCTAAACGAAAAGATAGCCGTGGTTGGTGATTCCATCGGGAATGTTATTGTGGGTCGACATGTAGTACGACGCAACTTAGACGGTCAGGAGAGTCTAGCCGCCACGGCGGCTCCCTCTCAAGGGATTACCGAGAAGGGACCGTGTTTCTCTTCTCCGTCTCCGCACCGGAGACAACTACACCAACGAGTGAAAGCATCGGCACTCCGGGCGTGGCAGTCCACACTGCATGAACTGCGGCGTCCTGGAGACTCTGGACCAACTGTGGCTTCTTTCTCTGGCTGGTGATGCTCGCAGTGTACGGAGATCTCGACCTGCCTCGGACAACATCTGAGCACCTCCTGTTCCCGAAGAACCGCCGTGAGCACATCAAGCGTGCAGTTTCTGCGCTGCTGGACTAAGTTGAGAGAAGCGAACTGCGTGAGCGATTGTAATGAATTGTCGCCGCTTGATCTCGGAGACGATCTGTGCGTCCCTCTCCCCCGCTTTTTGTTTCGGTCTCTTTCCTCGCTCTCTCTTTCCATTTTCCTTTCCCCACTCCAGTCTATTACCATCCATCCCCCTTCTACTGCAAACTACTGTTGACATGTCGCACTTAGCTGTGGGGTTCACTTTTCGTTTCCTATCCTAAGAACCACTTTTATTATGCCATTAAAGGTTGGCCGATCGTTCGGAACAGCCATTCATAGGCTTCGACTTGGCACGGCCTACACGAACGCCTTCCGGCATAGAATAAGGAAAGCTGGCAGTCTTACCTGCTCATGTGGAGAAGCTGAAGAAGATGTTGAGCAAATTTTCTACATTGTAAATATTATGACGAGCGTCAAAAAATTTTACTAGGAAAACTAATTTCTTTGAATGAGCGACCTCCATGAATAGCAGAACTCTGAGGTCCATGGCTAAAAGGAAACCAACAAGCCACTGCTGCGCGTGCAGTAGTTCACTTTCTGGAGGAATCAGAAATGTCCCAAAAGTACTAAACCAAAAATAAAATGTAATAGCGTTATTGCTAACCGGTATGTTTTACAACACTATTCTTGTGTTTCACTATATCTTTGCGGAAACCTTTGTCAAAATATTTCAGTTTTTAAGAGACATGATCACCTTTTGTAATTTAGTAAACTTTGTGGGGCTATTTCAATTTGCTTGAATACTTGTGTTTTTAAAAATTACGTGTGGTGTGAGCACATTTTTAAATGAAAATCTTGGACTCAGTGCGTAAGTGTTGTGCTCTGAACCTATGTATAGCCTTGTGCTTGTTACCTAATATGCGGTGTCGACATCTGTGCAAGAGAAGACGAGTAGCCGGCGCCACGCATTTCCACCAACCTCTCCTTAAGTACATTTCTTAAATACACGTGCTGGCACGCGTGACTCACTGACGATGGACGTAAAAGCACATGACCTTTAAAAAGGGACATTTTACGAAAAGCCAAGGTTGGATGACTCGTTCTTCGTGAAGCAAGAAATGCTTGATTCACTCGACTAATTAGTTTCAAATGTATAAAGTCATCAAAGCATATTACAGGGAGGGAACTTGCGGATGTGTTTTTTTTTTTGTTGCTGAAAGGGAATTCGAGTTTTAAGGTAGTATCAGACAAAAATTACAGAAAACAATTCAAATGTTGACATTATGAGAAACACATTATAGAAATTTGTTTCAATCTTGACAATCACAATTCACGAGAAGGAAGCGTGGACATTCATTACGACTGAGCTCGTCGCCGTCTTGAGAGGACTTTCATATGTTGAAAAAAAAAAAAACATCTGACTGTTAAGGAAAAGGAAAAGAAAAACTTTTACCATTGCCGTATGAGTAAAGGACAAGAGTAATTTCCCACTTCAACAACTCTGGAAGTGCACCTTGTCTTCAATGAACTGACGTTGAGGAGCTCAGATAAATCCGCTACTAGTTAACCGAAGCACCTCCAGTTCTTCAGGTGCATTAAGCGGGCAGCCATTGAAAGACATCCAAAATTTTCTTTTGTTTTGTTGGATCTTCTTATTGGAGAATGCGTTAAGTGGAAAGATGCCTAGCCTAGCATGTTTTTTAGTGAAACCATGCCGTTTATAGACAAGGAGATATAGAGAGATGTCTGATTAATTACGATAGTAAAAACAGGCTCCTAAGCCCAGCCAGAAGAGAAATACAGAATACGTACTCAGTATGTATACAATGCTAGTCTGAGCTGTAATCCGGAGATGACCCACTTTCGTGTTTAGCGAGAGGCTGATAGAGCGAGATAATGAAGTAAGACAAGCAGGCGGGTTAACCGGATGATATGCTTCCTGCTTGGTACCTGGCCCGTAGGAAAGCGTAAGATAACTCAAAGAAGTAAGAAAGAAGAAAATGATAGAAAGAGAAGTGCTAGCAATATGTGAAGCAAGTGAACGAGTGCTTGAAGCGCTTGATTCATGCGCTACCCAAAAATCCCTGCGTATCGAAACGACCGCACAATCATCTGGGTGTTCTGAGGTAATCTCTGTGGGCTACCTGTCACTGCGGTCGCTACGAGGTAGATCAGATTCGGTCGGTCACGTTTTCTTCACGTATTCTCCACGTGCTCACCGTGGACAACACGTGGACAGGGCTAATCTATAGTTCTATATAATGACCTGGTTTGTGAAAAACGCAGGGGTGTCCCTCATGTGTAAACGTCATTTAATTCATAAAGCGATCGTAAATTGAACTGTCATAAAAAATAAAGATTAACTGTTTTCCAATCAAAATAGTTTATTATATTGTACCACTACCAACGCAGCACATGAACTTCACACGAAGCGATGCGCAGGCTGTTCTGAGAAAGAACATGCATGCATTCATCACGCGATCACCCCCGAAACTCTAAATGACGCAGAACGAGGGGTTAATTCCTCATTACGGCTTAACCAGCACGAATGATACACGTGATCACTCGGCTCCGAAGTATTGATGAAACGTTTTTCAGCTAAATGTTTCCTCTAATGCTGCTGCGTGCGGGTGAAGTTGAAGTTGGCTGACGTCATGATTGTTGGCGCCTGTAAGGACCACGGGTGCCGTATTGTAAACTCCCGTACGACTTCATTGGTTGGAAGCGGGGAAGAGAGGGAACGGTAGTGTCGACACATGCGTAGCGTTCAAGGTATTGTCAACAGGTTTCGTTCGCATTGAATAGTCGAAGTGGATAAAAAGAACGAACAGGTACTGCGTCACAAAAAAGCTTCAGCTAAGCTCAACTCCCCAATAGCAATGGCCTGTATTCACGCACATGATTTACGCTCCAGAAGTGCGTAGAAGAATGTTCTGACGCTGACCAGATTATTAATAATGCATGCCGCTTTATGGCAAGCAAAGTAGAAAGGTTATGGTACACCTTAAGCGTACGGAACATTTAGGAATCGGCATAGCATTACTTGAGCACGCACCCGGTTCCATTTAGGCTACAGTGCACCACGCCCAGGTCGGTCCTTTTGTGCAGTCAAGTCGTGAGAAAAGGAACGGTAACATATGCTAACGTTTGTAACATTCGACACGTCGAGATGCGACACACGCTGCGCACGCCTCGAAATAAGTAAAAAAAAATACGCAGCTGCGATGAAAGCTCACCGGAATAGTGACCACCTCCGCACATTCGTCGGTTCCATGAACACCCCGCAAGCCTCACTGGCGGTGAGAAAAAATAGCGGATCCGTGACAACGAAATCTTCGAAAACGCTTCGCACTCCCATAAAAGACACGTCTGGACTTCGTATTCCTCTCGAACAGTGGGAATAGAGTCGCCTTTTTTTTTTTCGGTCAGTCTTGAGACCTAATATTTGCCAGATGCACTAATGTCGTCACGCGCGTCTTTTCGATAGCATCATCGACACAAGCCTCGTGCAGGCAGGTCGCGCGGCAGGTGGCATGGCTGCGTCCATGGCGGGTGAGACGTTGCAAGCAGAAGGCCGTCTAACGCAGAACGCCCTTTCTTTCGTCGCACCTGTGTTTTGTGCAGCAGGAGCGTCAACATGGAGCGCATCGTTTTCTTTGCGATTTCTTTTCTTTCTCGCTTCCTTTCTCTCCCGCTCTCGCTCTTTGTAAGACGCGCTTTCACCGCTCCGTGAAACCCGCTGCATACAACTACCTTGGTTAGCGCGGGGAATTTCTCACGACATTTACCAGAAGTAATTCAGGGGGCTGTGATCCTTGAGCCGGCATGGGAGTCGTGGGTGACACATAGACACGTGGATTTCCCCGGTCCCCGTTTCTTGCGGCTTTGCTTATTGTTGCGTTTTTGGATTTTGTTTCGAATAGGCTTAAACAATGCATCATTGTTAACTTCTTGAGGCGATCTGAATTCGTCAGCATATAAGCGTCAATGCTTTAAAATGTGGCCACTCAGCGTTTCCTGAACTTCAGACCGCGTGGACCCAAATAACGAGGCTAAGCCAAATCTATGTTGTAACGCATCATTTCTACGCTGGCTGAAGCGCAGTGCGTTGCGGTCACCATAGAAACTAACGCCATATTTCTCTTCAATATTTTGCCCCGCCGCGGTGGTCTAGTGGCTAAGGTACTCGGCTGCTGACCCGCAGGTCGCGGGTTCGATTCCCGGCTGCGGCGGCTGCATTTCCGATGGAGGCGGAAATGTTGTAGGCCCGTGTGCTCAGATTTGGGCGCACGTTAAAGAACCCCAGGTGGTCAAAATTACCGGAGCCCTCCACTACGGCGTCTCTCATAATCATATGGTGGTTTTGGGACGTTAAACCCCACAAATCAATCAAATCAATCTCTTCAATATTTTATTCATGAAACACTACGGAATAGAGCGCCTGTTGTAGGAACCTCTTGCGTGAAACATTTCAGAAAGCCGTCCATCTCCCCAACAGTTTCCCTGCCCTCTCCCCTCTCTCTAAGCCGTGACTTTGTTTGGCGCCGCTCCATTTATTGAAAAATGCTCCCGGTACGGAAATGTAGGAACTGTTCAAGCACCAGGTGTTTTTGGTTCGCGACGTACGTAATCAAAAGAAAGTTTTAAAATGTTTTTTGTAGAAAGCATGCGCTTTGACTGCGCTAAATCGTTCGTTCACGTTTCGTCGTCAGGACGTGTGCTTTTTTTGGTGCGTACGACGAGCTTGTTTTTGCTGAAGAACGATAGTATTAACATCTTGAATACTTTGCAAGCGATTGTGCTTCTTGGCACACTCTGTGTTTTTGTTTTCTTTTGCTGAATACGACGTATTTGTTTTTCTTAAGGAGGCGCGGGCCATCAGCATCATCTATTTACTTCCACGAAGTCACCACGGTGGTAAGGAAAGGAAAATAGACAGCCACTAGTTTCTGGCGTCAAGCCACAAGAAAATCCGTACGCATTTCTCAGATTGAAAAGCTTATTAGTTGCCGGAAAGCTCGCCTCGGTCCGGGGATCGAATCCGGGACCATCGCCTCTCTGGGGCGGTCGCCTTACCAATTCAGCTAACCTGGAAGCTAGCCATTGTCAGTGCAAGTTCGTCTACAACTCGAAACGCAAGGACACAAGTAATTCAACTGAGTTCTGTGGAGACCCGTAAGGTGGCGGAAGAATTAAGAAAGCGAAAATATACAACCTAGTAATATGGTACTATACGGCTGACATTAAGTTCACGGGGTCGATTCTCGTCCGCATTTTGGTAGAGGCGAAAATTGAGGAGGTCCATGTATTAAAATTTAAGTGCATGTTAAAGAACCTCAACCTGAATTGGCGGAGCCCACTACGGCGTCTCTCATTATCATACCATGGTTTGGCACGCGAAACTTCAAGTGTTCCTATTATTGCATGTCATGGAAGATGGCGAAGCGTTATAAACAAAACAGTGCACTTGTGAAACTTTATACTGTTTATTATGTGCCTGCAGCCCCGCCCATCTGATCAGCGTTGATGTACGTTATGTTACAGGGGCGAAAAAGCAAAGACCCTCCTGTACTCTGCCATGTATGACCAATGATGTTTGTCACAGAGGTTTCTTTGCTGCACGAGTGTGTATAGTCGCACATACATGAAACACAAAGCTTTCAAAGTGGAATGGTTTTTGCGAGGGATAACTCAGGAGTCCAATTTCGGACCGATAATTATCTGACTGCCAAGCATGCTTTAAGCACTAAGTGCTAAAGCCAATAGTCATGCCTACAGTGCGAGCACTGGAAGAGCGGAGAAAAACCCGTCGTAGTTAAGCACTGTTGGTACATTTTAAATTTGAATTTTCCGTGACTTAACGTCCAAACACTTAGAGAGGCTATTATTCTTTTGCTAAATGTGACACAACAATAAAGTCATATTCGCTTTTCTTGCTTGTTAGTGTAAGGAGTAGGGAATACTGGCTTTTGTTAAACGGAATTCTGTAACATTCTTTCTACGTCGAAAGAAAATTCTGCCGATTGATAGTGAAGCCTCGAGAAAGCACGTGAGGCAAACATTGTACCGTGGCACAGAGCATGCAATTTAGAAATAATTTTTTAAAGTCAGTTCTAAGTCACACGCTCTTCTCTCAACAAATGATGTCGAATACAGAGAATTAGGTGACGCATATGCCCGAAATTACGCAGCAACCACTCATTATAGCCTCATTCGCCTGTTCCAGCATCACGAGTTGCGTAGTAACCACGGTGGCCGCTGTGTGCCGCGACGTGCCCACTCTGCGCTCTATCAGCTGGCTCGTGCTCACTCTGAAGGTGAACCATGCTTATTGACGAAAGAAGAAAGTCCCAACCGCCTTGTCCTATTTTAAAGACGATAGTCTTTCTTGGGGACCTTCGACGCAAAAATTTTGGTCTGTCTGTCAGTACATTTGTCTGTTTGTCCACTCCTAACAGCACTGGGTACTTGAAACGGCCAACCCCATCCGCAGCGCCCACTAATGTTGCTCAACATTTAGCGTTCATACTTGTGCAATTGTCAACTAATAAGCAATTATTGCGCAAGTCTCGGGCACCATAACAACACGTATATATTCTGCATGAGCATCTTTTACAAGAAAATGCATACATAAGTAATTTTAAGGACAGTAGTGCTTATCACGCTGCGCTAACCAGGCAACGCTTGCACGAAAAGGTGAGTGTTTCCAGCGCTTTGCTAAGACGCGATGGTGGTGGGACCTACCCATCGCCTTGCGTTCCTCACCTTATCACCTCTGAGACGGGCGCGGACACCCGTCTGAGAGCCACGCGCTTCGTTTTGCAAGGAGACTGCCAGGTGGCGCTCATGTCTCACGTGTGACGTGACTTGATGCGCTCGTTCGTCTCCGCTGCACGCTCGAGGCACTCTAACGCAGCGCCTCCAGAATACCATTCACCGATTTTCTTGCGCAGAACATCAAAATAATTGTTCACGCTTTCCACACGCAAGGCTATCTTTTTTCGACGACATTTGCAGAGAACATGCAGATACGGGGCCAATTTTTTCCTTTGCTCCAGTCGGATTGTGAAGCAATAGACCACTATATTGAAAATATGCAATGATTTCCTGGAGGTGTTGCGGTTTTTTGTGATGGTAAACAGCAACAATTAACGTTAAAGTATGACAGCCACCTCCCCTCCACTTCCTCCCCCTCCACACAACCAACAACTTCTACAAATTCGGTTTCTTCATCAGCAAATACTTTGGGCCCAATGTAACGGCTTGTGGGAAAGGTGACAATCAGCTGAAAATTGTTGTCGCATGACACGTTCGCTCATTGTCAGCCTGAGCGAAAACCCACACCTCACGTACGACTTGTGCAAATGTGTCGTAACTGTTCTTCTACAAGCGATGACGACCCGACACGCTGCCAGCCGCAGCTGTGTGCCAGTGGCCTATTAACGAGGTGGATGAGTTATGAAACAGCCGCACACAAAACAAAGCTGCAAACGACGAACGCAGGAATTCGACGCCGACGGCTGCGGTGTTTTATTATCACCGCTTGTTCAACGGCCATTGCTTTATTTTTTTTATTTTTTTACGATTCACAAGTGAGTAGCCGCATCTATATTTCAACACATTTATAAAAGTGCTGTGCATTGAATAATTTACAGCTCTTCAACAAGTGTGAGCATAGTATCCAGCGGTGCTGTGATTGTGGCGGATCTCCAACAGAGAGTATTGGTAAAGTGAAGCTATATATTGACACTAGTAAATATATTTCAAAAATAAAAGGACAGAAATTCAAAGATAAAGTTTTTTTCAACATGACGCATATTGATTCATCACAGGTTGTCGCGAAATGAAATTCAGCATCACTTAAAGAACCGCGTTGCTTTGAAAGTAGAGAAATGAGATGACGTCCATCCCTGATGCAAATGGTCCTGTATTTGAGGCAAAGTATGTTACGTCGTCCTGTCACATTGACGAAACTATGAACCTTTATGTTTACGTTCAAGTCCCTTCTGTATTTCCTTAGCACTCAAAAATGTCAGAGTAGTCGAGGTGATCAATAAGTGCCGAATCGTTCTTCTACACACATTTTAATTGCGAACGCGATCCTCCACTGCTACGCCGTATGCATCGTTTTCGCGAAAACTGCGATGACATGCTATGGAGCTTCCTATAGACAACTTTTGCGTGCGTGCCACCATCTTGCTGAGCGGACGGCACTGCCTCCACTTTGGCAACCTAATGGCTTGCGCGAATGCGCGAATGTTGGTATTTGCATGTTGGCGGGCACTTCAAGCCGTTTGGCGCACAACAGCACACGTGCATTGAGCCCTTCTCACGCACCAGAATGCAGGAAAGCGGGAGTTGCCAGACCGCTCTTTCTCGTGCGGAGAAAACGATATATAATTTAAAAAAAATAGGGTGCTTTTTCTCTGCAACAGGACTAGGCCTTATCTTGCGAGCACCTTCCCTTATACGTCGTTTTTGGAAGAATAAAGGCGAATAAGGATCTCGAGGTCTCGCACTCTGCACTTGTGACTG